GCAGGAATGTTGATAAGCAGGTGGAGCTGCAAACTCTCAATGAGAGTGAGTTTGAGCACCAAGGTGGAGATGATCAACATGAGCATGTTTCTACAGAGTCAGAAACTTCACAGTCCAGTGCAGGAGCTCAACAGTCTATAGCTTCTGGTAGACCAAAGAGAGCGACTACAGGGATACCTCCACAGAGGTATGGCTTCGAGGACATGGTGGCGTATTCATTTCAGGTTGCTGAAGAAGTGGATGCAGGTGAGCCACAGTCCTATAAAGAAGTTGTTTCGGGTGGCGAAGCTAATCAGTGGCTTGCCTCAATTGGAGATGAGATGGAATCCCATGACAGGAATCAGACTTGGGAGCTAGTCAAACGACCACAGGGAAGGAAGATTGTTACAAACAAGTCGATCTACAAGAAGAAGGAAGGAATCACTTCTAAAGAGGGCATGAAATTTAAAGCTCGGGTGGTTGCACGAGGCTTCTCGCAGAGGGAAGGAGTTGACTACAATGAGATTTTCTCACCGGTGGTCAGACATATGACTCGCTACGACACAACACCTAACAATGGCCAAGTGTAACCAATGGAAAGGACTGCAGTATAGTGGCTCAAGTGATAAATATCGAATCCATGGGTCTCTAGAGTTACTATTACTCAGCTTCAATTTATTATTTAGCAAACCAGATTAAGATGAAAGAACTAAAACTACTCTAGCAAACTACAGTTAAAGTTAATCTAATTACAGGTTGGGAACTCACTTAGGTATGATTCCCCCTAGCCACTAGCCACTAGCCACTAGCCAGACTAATGATTGATGATTTCCAACTTGTTTCACTTTCATTCACAATGCGGAGAATCCTTGACTAGACCTTGAGTCTCGACTAAAGGAACAAGGCCCTCTTGAGTCAATTGCCTAGAGGGACGTATCCTTCTCTAGAACAACTGATCAAGGCGTTCTGAACTAGACTCCCTCTATCGAAAGAGGTTCTCAATAGATACAAAGCAGTGAATCAACCCTCGACTAAAGCAATCGATCCACTACTATCAATCTATGCTGCTCTATTGACCTAATTAGGTATTCCCTCTCATAGGATCAAAGCAGAATCAATAATCTCGACTAAAGCAGAATTAAATCATGAAAACATGCATAGATTGAATATGAACTCAAGATTATCAAGTCAGAGTACTCATACAATCATCCAATCAAACAAACATGGCTAGGGTTCCTCAAAACCTAAGTGAAGGGAAGTTACTCCATAGAGAAGAGAGAGACTGCAGTAAGAATCTTCAGATGATCAGTCTTCAAGTCTGGGCTTGTTCCTCGAGCTTCCAAGGCGAAGAAATCCTCCAATTACACTCCAAGAATGCCCTCAAATCGCCCTCTCTCTCTTTGGTTCGTCCCTTGGGTGTTTGGGATCCAAAACCCAGCTCTCTCTCCTCCTTTGGCTCGAATTTGGGCTAAAAAACCCGATTCTGGGCAAAACACGGTCGAGGACACGGCCGTGCTTTGGTTTTGCCCGCCCGTGCTTTGCCCCGTGTTAAAAACATGCCCGCGCGCGTCGAACAAAACAAGGTCGTTCCTAAATATGGGCACGGCCGTGTTTTGATTTAGGAGCGCCCGTGTTTTTACTGCCGAACCTGTTCCCCTATATTCAATGCTTCGTTTCTCCCTCGTTCGGACTCCGAATCAGTCGCCGTTTGATCCAAGACGCTCGTAGTCTTGTCCTCTTTATTTTAATGACAAGCTTGCATGATTCTTTGTCCATAAAAAGAGGTAGAAATCCATTCTTCTTCAGGTCATGCCCGAGTTTCTTCTTCCTAATCGCCAATTGATCTCTGATTGACTTGAAACTTGTACCTATGCTTCACTTTATGTGCTAGGACCTGAAATGTGAAAAAGGAACACAACCTACCATAAAATAGGCCAAAGACGCGATAATTAAAGCTCAAACGATCAAGAAACAAAGGGGAAAACATGTGCAAATATCGAGTCATCAACATACTTCGATCAGAGTGCTACTAGCAATAGTGGCACATTATGACTTGGAGCTCGAGCAGCTAGACGTGAAGACAGCTTTCCTACATGGAGAGTTGGAGGAAGAAATTTACATGACTCAGCTAGAAGGATTCGAGGTTCCGGGAAAAGAAGACTATGTTTGTAAGCTGAAGAAGTCCTTGTATGGACTTAAGCAGTCTCCGAGGCAGTGGTACAAGAGATTTGACAGTTACATGCTTGAGCTGGGCTACAGCAGAAGTCCATATGATTGTTGTGTGTATCACAACAAGGTGGATGATGGTTCGATGATCTATCTTGTTCTGGATCTGGATGATATGCTCATAGCTGCGAGGTCGAAGTCTGATATCCAGAAGTTAAAGGGGCTTCTCAGTGCTGAATTTGAGATGAAGGATTTGGGAGCTGCTCAGAAGACCTTGGGTATGGAGATTTACAGGGACAGGTCGAAGAAGACGCTTTTCTTGTCATAGAAGAGCTACATCCAGATAATACTGTCGAGGTTTGGCATGTCTTCAGCAAAGCCCTTAAATACTCATAGTGCTTCAAATGTTCATCTATCCTCAGCTTATGCACCGCAATCAGAGACTGAGAAGGAGTACATGTCGAGAGTCCCATATGCTAGTGCAGTAGGTAGCTTGATGTACGCTATGGTATGCACTAGACCTGATCTTGCACATGCTGTTAGTGTTGTCAGCAGGTTTATGATACAACCTGGGAAGGAGCATTGGCAGACTGTGAAGAGGATCTTCCGGTACCTTAAGGGTACACCTGATGTGGTGATTAGCTTCGGAAGTGATATATAGTGCTTGGTGTCTGGGTATTCTGAATCGGACTATGCTGGAGATGTTGACACGAGGAGATCGATGACCGGTTATGTATTCACTCTTGGGAGTTCTGTAGTGAGCTGGAAGGCAACTTTGCAGTCGGCGGTAACATTGTCTACCACTGAGGCAGAGTATATGGCGTTGAGAGAAGCTGCTAAGGAAGGAATATTGTTGAAGGGACTGGTTGGTGATCTTGGTCTACATCATGATCATGCAGTGGTGTATTGCGACAGTTTGAATTCAATATGCTTGGCCAAGGATCAAGTCCACCATGAGAGGACTAAGCACATCGAGGTGAGGTATCATTTCTTGAGGACAGAGAAGAGGATTGAGGTGAAGAAGGTTGGCACCGCGGATATTCCTGCTGATATGTTCACGAAGCCGGTTCCACATGGCAAGTTCCAACACTGCTTGGACTTGCTGAATGTCTTGATTGGGTGACTCCGCCCTGCGGGGCATTGATGGCGGGAGAGAGAGAGAGAGAGAGAGAGAGAGAGAGAGAGAGAAGGAGTAGAGTATATTAGAGATTTCAGAGGAAGAGGATTCAAGTCAAGGTGGAGATTTGTTGATGTGACTTGAATCGGACTATCAGGAAGTTGGTTGCGCGGTGTATGAGCTCAATGTTATTTGGGTTCGGGTTCTGGGCCTGGTCTGTAACCGTTTCCTTTGCCAGATACTATAAATACTTCTCATACTCCACTCTGTAATCTGTAATCTCCTCAATATAGTGAAACTGGCTCTCTCTCGCCCGTGGACTAGATAACACACATCGTGTTAGTGAACAACGTAAATCGTGTGTCTGTGTTTTTCGATTCTCGCTTTCGGATTCTTGCTTTATCGATTCCAACAATTTCCCGATCCGTAGCAGCGTGTTTATAACACTTGGGTATTAATGGGATCGCATGTTCAGAGAGTACTTTGTTGATTAACCTTACATGTGGTGGCCTTCAAATCTCGTCTCTTTTCCAGTTACCTAAGGTTGGGATTCATTGCTGTAAGAGTCTGTGGAAGGAGACCATGGCAGCCGAAGATGAAAGGGATTTCAAACGCCGGACCTCCATCGATCTCGATAAAGCATGCAGAACCGATTACGGAGACGCCTTCCAAAAAAAACGTCGCCGTCTCTTTCTCTATTTCACATGGTCTCCTTATCATCGTGCATGGCTTGATACCGATTTCTTCGATCAAAATCCTCAATTCGTCTATTCATTTCTCTATGCTTTTGAATTGATCAGGTTGCACGACCCATAGAGCCGAAACGTCGGGGGAAAAGAAGATTACGATGAATAGGGAGACCGGGGGATATTAGGATGCTGAATCTCTGCAATTGTTTGCCAGAGTAAACTTCAGCGGGTTTAGGGGTGAGGTACAGGGGGGATTCAAACCCTCGTTTTCCAATTGATGTTTTTCGTCTTTTAATTAGCTTCTTTTTTTCATTGAAGTTTTTGGTTTTTGAATTAAAATTTTTATATATTCATTGTGTGATGGAGAACAAGTGATCAGGTGCGGACGATTTGTTGTAAAAAAAAGGTCGTGCTTGGCCAGCCCAACATAGATAAACATGGGCTTATGTGAATCTGATCGCAGAGAATCATAGAACTCCTTTGTAAACAGTTGCTACCGGATTTTTCGTAAGGAACAGTAACCGGATTATTTTTTAAGTTTTGCAAACTTGTGGTTTAATAATTTAAATTTAAATTTAAATTATGCTTGAGTTTATGGCAACTCTAACAAGGACAATGACTTCGACTTGCAGAGGCGACACTAACGGTGGAGGGGTGCACCAGCCTACAAGGGTTTATTTGGGCGAGGTTCAGTGCGGTGGTTGGATCGTTTGATTATTTGGCAAGACATTGTAAAAAAAAAAGGAAATGATGATAGTGTATTTTTTTTCACAAAATTATGAGCAGAGAATACCTAAAAGATATTATGTACGACATTAACTTAAAATTAGGTTCGTATCATTGTCATTCGAAGAGTTCGTTATCAATCGGTCCATTTCACGTGAACTTGGTGGGGAAAAGATACGCAACATACACATGAGTTTAGCAAATGCATAGAGGATATTCACTTAGAATTAACAAAATCATCATGACCATATACACTTGTGTATCCCTATCTAATAGCTTCCATTACCTCTAAAATCTAGGATGGAAAGCCAGCCATCTTAGCAAAGAATCAGAAAAATTCATTCTTCTGCAATAGTAAAATTAATGTTCCTACCGAGACAGTATGTTGAGCAGAGAAGCTCTAGATTTGATCAACCTCCTGAAAACGCCCTCCAAACCATCCTCAATCTCCTTAAAACAGCCCTCCACCGATTCCAATTCCTTGGTACCAAATTCCCTCTTCTTCTGATCATCCCCAATCAATAAAGCAACGTCTGCAGCTTGAATCTCGTTCATCTCGCACTCAACTGCCGCCACCTTACGCGTCATCATCAGCTTGGACGCTATCCCCCACTTGCTCTGTTTTGCCCTGCCACAAACCGGCGGTGTAACGAAGCTCAACAACGCTCCCAACACGCGGTTGCTGGCCGCATTAACTTCTCTCATCACTCTAATGACCGCACTAAAGTGCTCATCATCATCGTGATCGGCCGCCGGAAGCTTATAATCACGATTGCCCATCTGCTGCTTCAACTGCGCAACCAACTTCCTGGCGTCTTTCCTCGTCTTCCTCCTCAATTGAATGTAGTCAGAAACAGAGGATTCTAAAACAGAGTCGCCGCCTTTCCTTCTCCTGCGGATTGCGGACTGGAGGGCTGCCACGTTTTCTCTTAGCCTCGAGATCACATCCTTTGCGATCTCACAAGTGTCCATAAGCTTCACGGATCCATCTAAGAACCTCTCCTCCTCTGCCACGCATCGGCGAGACAGAGCTTCTTGAGTTGAGGACAGGGCCAGAAGCTCGTCCAGGCTATCATAGACGTCTCTTAGAGTTGATAAGCTGCTGCAGATGGCCGAACTAGAAGAAGAAGTGGCCGCCGATGATTGATCGAATTCTCTCAGCTTGGTTAGCTCCTCGTGGATTTTAATCGTTGTAGGGTGAGCTCTGGCGGGCAAGCTCACTGATCTCTTCTGGAATTTGGCTGCCATTGTTCGTAATTAAAGTTGGCTTCTTTTCCTTCTTTTCTGGGTTACAGAGGAATTTAGCAGCATAGTTTGGGAAAGAAAGAATGTGGACAGCCGTGTATTTATACTGTGAAAGGATTCCATGTGAGAGCATGTGCAGAGAAAAGAGAGAGATGGGGGTTGGCCGGCCGGCCTGCAAATTCGGTCTCCATATGTTACATTACTGGCCAGCAAGCAGATCTCCAATCACAGGATTCTGTTTCTACACTTTGTAGATTTTAATAATGGGCGATGATGGGCTATGAGGTGGCCGGTGAATTTATCATCCGGGTGTCCCCTTTTCTAGCTAAATCTTGGCCACGAGTCATTCCCTAATTTGCCTCCTTTACTGCCACATGACTCCCCATCCCTTCCCCCCAAATAATTGTCCATTTCTGATTTTGTCAAAAGAGCACTTGGCCGTATGTCCACCATGCATGCATATGGGTAAGGGTGTGGAAGAAACCGTCAGGTTTTTTTTTTTTTTGGTTAACCGACAACGTAACGAATAAGTGCGGTTAATGGTTAATTACTAGGGACTTTTATACGATTATGGCTTGTAAAATGGGTTGTTTTGTCGTTTGTAAACTAACCGCAAACTGTAACGAATATAATCACGGTCGATTAATTAACCGCACTAAAACAACAGTCAGCATACTAGGGCTCGGTCCAACATCACAAGCTAACAGGACCAACCCACCACCACCAACCAACCTAGAGCAAGTCCACCCCAACTCAAGTCATTCTGCCATCCAAGGCTCCACCAAATTCAACTGACTAACGAGGTCGAGAGACGAGAGGAATCTACCGACAGTGAGGAGTGACAACGACCTTGTTCCAACAACTCTATCATTATGTCTTGTCGTCCATCGAGTAGAGCACGTGCAACGAGCCAAGCACCCAATGGCCTTCTCTTTGTTGTTTCAAAGACCTCAGAGGCTCAAATCTCACCTCCATCGACCTTCTTTTTAGTTACTATCGCGGTTAACTACAACTAACCGATGACCGTAGTGTGTGGCTAGTGGTTAACCGCAAAGTGTTTGTTGTGCTTCCTCCTACTCGGACCCATTATTACGGCCAAAACAACTCTCTGTTGCAAATCCTTGTATTCCACTCCCTACCCATCATCCCATCTACCTTCATTGTCGTATCCAATTTAGCTTAATGACTTCATATCCATGCTGAGTTATCAGAATCGATGTGAAAGAATGTATTGAAGTGATTGAATTCAAATTTGAGAAGGATTTATAGAAGTAGGAGTCTCAAAGACCAACAACTTAAAGAAGGACGTTTCCTTCCTAAAACGTTTGTTATAAGGTATTGCACACCATTAAATTAAGCATTATTTACTTTTAAAGTTAACAGAAGGACACATGGTAAATTATTGGGTATAGGTATAATCTGCCCATCATTTTATCAAACATGCCTCTTTACTATTTTTTTTACATCAAACATGCCCATGTACTTTGGAAATATGATCAAACATGCCCTTATGTATGAAACTTTCATTGAAAAAATCCTCAATCATGGTTGGACCAAGATTTAGACGACCCGACATCGGCAAATGGAACGAAAAAATGTTAGTTTTATCCCCTGTTTTATTTCTATGGGTCTCGTCAATGTAAAATTATTAGAATTATTTGGCTATACAAAATAACCAAAAAATTCTAAAGTAAAATAATTAGGGATATTTTAGACATTTGTGTCACCCTAACCAAAGTTTGACCGTGGTTAACGGTTTTTGGATGAAAATTTTAACAGAAGGGCATATTTGATCATATTTTTAAAGTACAGAGACATGTTTGATGTAAAAAAACAACAGATAGACATGTTTGATAAAATGACATAGTAGAATGACATATTATACCGATAACCCTAAATTATTGTAACCATGTTTTTCTTATCATATAAAATAAGCAGAGCAACTCACAGATGCATCTGAGCCTTTCTTACAAAAAAATCAATCCTATATAGAATTTTTTTTTTGATAATGGTGAAGATGCATTACCAAGGAAATACACCAGAGGTGTATACAAGTTCAGGAAACAAGATGAGAAAGGGAAACAATAAAATCCTATATAGAATTTTCTTATGGTATCAAAGCCGCTAATCTAGGTCGACTACTAATCCACTATATTTGACGACGAAGAATGCTAGCGTAAACTTACGGCATTCTATGAATGAGTGGGAACTTAAAAAATGGCTCAGGTTCTAGGTTTCAGTTTTGGTCTTTGGATCCGTTTGTCAAAACGCTACCAACAATAACAACAACAACAATTCGACATGATCTCCCTCAGTAACTCACCTGAACTCAAATAAGAATTTTACTCAATGAATGTTTCTGAGTCTCTTGATCGTAACAACTACTCAGTGTTGAGTAGATCTGTGAAAAAAGGCCATGAAAATGTATCATAACTTGGTTTTATCCATGGTTCTTTGTCAATGCGAATGATCCAAACTTTCGTTTGTCCGATAGCTGTAATCTTGCTGTGATCTTGAATTCGTTGCAATAGGACATAAAATGTTCCGTAATGAGTCATGAAAATGTCAAGGCATGTGGTATGAGCAGAAACATAGGTTTGCAAAACTTAATGAAAATTGTTTGACAAATATGGAAGATTAGATTCATAGGTGCAGACACGACACGATGACCATTGCACAATATATTTGATAGACCAATAATTACACATGTTTGCACCCTTAGTTCTTATCCGTTTGCGGCTAGTAGTCGTGTATTTTTGGCCCGTTTTACGCCGGGTTGTGCTACTTTGTCATATTTTAGGTCACAGACGTCGAAGGAAAGGCTAAGCACTTCGGGGCATTTGGAGGTCATTCGGTCGAGCTGGGGCCCAAACACGGGTAGGAGGCCTGAAGAGCACGGCCGTAGATCGATCTCCATCACCATTGGAGCCCGACTTGAGCTTGGAGAAGACCTGATTGAGAGCCAGAAGCAGATTCTCATCCTTCACGGTATGGTTTCCACATCTGAGCTAGATTTTCCATCTCTCTCTATGGAGTAGTTTTCTTATTCACCTGGGTATGAAGAACCCTAGATTTGTATGTTAGGTATGATTGTATGAACCCAAGTACATATTCATTGGTATGATTATGTTCAATTGATGTTTGATTTGTTGAATGGCATGAATCCTGATCAAATTCCTGTTGTTTCTGCTTTAACATAGAAAGAGAATATCTGCCTAGATTGATAGAGCATCCTTGATTGAAGATAGTGAATTGGCGACTTTAGTCGAGGAGTCAATTCACTATTCTGTACTGAATTTACTTCGGTAGTGGAGGTTTGGTTCGTTAGGGCCTCAATCTGTTTACTCCGGTGGAGGTTAGTCGCCCGCTGGAAACTCAGATTGAGAGGGTCTGGACACCTTTAGTCAAGACTTCAGACTGTTTAAGAATCTTCTGCAGTATAACTATCATTGAACCTGAACTTGGTAAATTGCAATCCGGCTTAACTGCAGTCTAGGGGGAACCATATCCGGGTGACCTCTCTCGACTTGAAAACAACCATATCCGGGTTAAGGAGCATGTACCCCAGCTTCCCTTCCCCACTCGGCTACACAAAGATAAGCTGGAGACTGAGTTTGCCAAGTTCATGGCAATGTTGAAGCAGCTCAACGTCAGCATACCTTTCATGGAGGCACTGTCGAAGATGCCCAAGTACGCCAAGTTCATGAAGGATCTCCTCACCAACAAGAAGAAACTTGGGGATCTTTCGACAGTGATGCTGAGCGAGGAGTGTTCTGCCATCTTGCAGAACAAGCTGCCCGAAAAGCGCAAAGACCCAGGGAGTTTCACTATCCCTCTTAATATTGGCAGCGTGCATGTAGGGAAGTCATTGGCAGACCTAGGCGCTAGCATAAATGTCATGCATACAATCTGTTTAAAAAGCTAGACCTAGGTGAACTTAGCCCTGCTAGGATGAGCATTCAGTTAGCTGATCGCTCTATTGTGCATCCTAGGGGTATCATAGAGGATCTGCTTGTTAAAGTAGATGCATTCATGTATCCTGTTGATTTTGTTGTTCTGGATATAAATGAGGATGTGGATGTGCCTTTGATTCTGGGTAGACCATTTCTTGCCACTGCCAAGGCACTTATTGATGTGCATAGTGGTCAACTGATCTTGCGTGCTGGGAATGAACAGGCTACTTTTTCTGTGGCTGACCTTGATCATTGTGATATGACTGCTGTCACACCTATGCATGCTATTTCACACTAGGTACACGATCCTGTCGTGTACCCCTCTGTGCCTCTCATTTAGCAGGACTCCCCTCTCATGCCTTTGCCGCCACTCCCTTCAACCTCACCTCCTAATAAAAAGCTCAAAGAGGAGTGGCGACCGAAGCCGCAGGTGGCTAAGCCTGCTCAGAAGAAAGGTGGAGACCACTATGAGCTGGTCCCACCTCCTGCACCACGACCACCCTGGCCATCCGAGTACTCACTCGCCTGCATCTTGCCCAATGGCCAGGTCGAGCTTACCAATGCTGGTGGTTGCACCCGTCGGATGCATGGTCACAATCTGAAGCTGTACCTCAAGAGCGATGTGGATCCGCTCTTAGAGGGACCTGGTCCTGCACCCCACTGAGTATCCACCATGGGCGTCCAGCTAAAAGACGGTAAAGAAGAGAAAGAGAAAGGGTTACGAGTTTTAGAGAGATAGAGCGATACATAGAGAGAGAAAATGATGAACCTGACTCTGCAAGTGCCATAGATCGATCTCCATCACCATTGGAGCCCGGCTTGAGCTCGGAGAAGACCTGATTGAGCGCCAGAAGCAGATTCTCATCCTTCACAATATGGTTTCTGCATCTGAGCTAGATTTTCCATCTCTCTCTATGGAGTAGTTTTCTTATTCACCTGGGTATGAAGAACCCTAGATGTGTATGTTAAGTCTGATTGTGTGAACCCAAGTACAGATTCATTGGTATGATTATGTTCAATTGAGATTTGATTTTTGAATGGCATGAATCCTTATCAAATTCATGTTGTTTTTGCTTTAAACTAGAAAGAGAATATCTGCCTAGGTTGATAGAGCATCCTTGATTGAAGGTACTGAATTGGCGACTTTAGTCGAGGAGTCAATTCACTATTCTGTACCGGATTTACTTCGGTAGTGGAGGTTTGGTTCGTTAGGGCCTCAATCTGTTTGCTCCGGTGGAGGTTAGTTGCCCGCTGGAGACTCTGATTGAGAGGGTTTGGAGACCTTTAGTCGAGACTTCAGACTGTTTAAGAATCTCCCACAGTATAACTATCATTGAACCTGAACTTGGTAAATTGCAATCCGGCTTAACTGCAGTCTAGGGGGAACCATATCCGGGTGTCCTCTCTCGACTTGAAAACAACCTTCTTGCTTGCTTTGCTTGTTTGAACCTGCACTAAAGTTTCACCGCTAAATAATAAGAATTCACTGAGTAGTCATCACATCTAGGACCCGGGTTGACATTAAAACTCAAACCCGCTATACTACGCTTTAGGAAGTGGTTTCACTTGGCCATTTT